CATGTAGTAAAAAACGATTATTTCAATATTACAAACAGCCACTCCAATTTTATTTACATGTATAGATTTGAGCGCCTTTGATCGCAATCTCACTTGATGGACTTTGCAAATAGTGAAAGTACTGCTAACAACTTCTTTATTTATTATTACAGTACTAATATAGTACAGAAACCTCAGAAATATAATAACGCAATGTAATATTATTTGCCTTCTCATATGTCGTTACCGAATTCAAAACAGAACAAAAACGTTCCGACTTATTTAACGAAATGTAAATCCGGTTGTATGTTACAGAAAGCATAAGTTTCACCAAATTAGCCACTTACAAGCCTCCAACCATTCCTGATTAAGCCGAAAATCCCGTCAACGGGAAAACAAAGACCTCCTAAGCATTGTTACCATAATGGATTGCACTCGTAAAACGTTAAAAATCGCCGGCGAAGACGATAATGACCCGCTTATACCGTTCCCGGCTGTTTAGATAAAACGTCACTGCTATTTTTTCCAAGAAAAAAAATCCTCTGCTTTATTTTACACCGGGGCTCACACTATATACACTTGGCAAATTGCTATGCGACATTTTACAGCCCCCCATAGGCTGCGGTAACTTACTGCGTCACTTTTAATGTACTGCATTTATATTTCGAGGTTTTATTATGATAGTCATAATAAAACTCGAAATGTAAATACAGTACTACTACTTCTACTTGAAATATAATAAAATATAATTTAATATTTATAAATAAAATAATTAATCAATCTATATTTTTAAACTAGCTTTTACCTGTGACTTTGGCTGAGTAGAATTCTACTTTTTTTATGTATACAACTTTTAAAATAAAAGTATAATAATTATAATAATATCCACGAATAATTCACACAGCACTATATAGTTCCAAGGTAAGCAAAGCTTGTATTATGGGTAATGGTATGTTATCTGTGGTAATAACTGACATAAGTATCTATATGTGTACAAGTATATAATATACATAGAAATCACATAATCAATCATATTCAGGAATACAAATATAATGCATGTATATAATGCGATATTCCTCAATACAAATATCGTGCGAAGAATCGAATTAAAGTAGTGCGGCGCAGTGCGAAACCGCTAGACCACCGACGTGATGATACATATTCTTTAGTAGTTATGTAATATTATCTTATCTGTGTCAGTATATACATAAATTTAAGTATGTTAAGTCAAACAATGTTATTTACTTTCAATCCAACAAAGAAAATGGCGGGTCGCAAAAGAGCAAAGAATAGTTGTAAGAAATAATAAAATTAATATAACTAATCAAAAATTTCATACATACATAGAACAATATGCATATATGATAATCGTCACAATTAGTTCAAACATATAAAAGAAAAAGATATACCAAACAAAAAGTACTGTATTTTTGTTTATACACAGATTGCCCGAGGGTATATTTAAACCAAATATGGTGGCAAAAGAAACAACGAGTGAAACGCAGCTGTAAATGGTAGATATTTAATATTTCCGATAACAGTTTATCGGTAACATGAAACATTCAACGCCGCAAATATGCCTTTGTAGACACTCAGTGATACCAACTCATAAATGCAAAATATGTTACAGCTAAAATGGCGCTGAACATCAGAGCATTTGTGAACTTTTTCATGACAAAATGTTACTATAAATTATTTGGTATAATGCTAAGCAGAAAAGGCCACTACACATGCTATGTGGATGTAGACCACTCATGCATAAACGAAATATCTCCTTTGGAAAGTATACACTCTATACTGAGGAGATAACAATCATCGCTCGTAAGAATATCCTTCAATTCTTGTCATTCACTGGTCTAGGTAGCGAACTTTGATAAAGGGCGAGTTCAGTATATATGTATATATGCATGCTATATATACTAAACTAAGCTAAGCTAAACTAAACTCCGGTAAAATAAATGTAGTGACCTAGTACTGTAACATTCTGATTTATAGGTCATGGGTATGATTCTGAAGAGAAACAAAAACTGTACCTGAATATCAATTTAGGTATTTATATTAAGTTAACATAAACAATTAATATTAAAAATAATCCTTATTATAGATAACATTATTATTTGTTATTTTGCTACTTAGTTACTTTACGTTTTAAACTAATTCACGAGAGCAGAGTCGCCGTATTAGTTGGTATCAAATAAATTAACATGCCTGCCAGAGAGCAATAAATTTTGTGTTATATCAATTTATTTGTACAGTTCAAGCTAAGTTTTAGTGGCATTGAGGTCACGCACACCTGAGTTGCTAACTTTTTGCATAATTTGTACAATCGAATGCTACCCGCGGGAGGCGGGAACTTTTCTTGTTTCGCTGCCGTACCAAATAAATGTTTATGTCTTTAAGTTCATTTTAAATTATTTTTTCCCATTTCTTTATTGTATAGCAAGAGAATCGCTAAGACCATAAATGAGGATTGTTTACATCTCCGAATAAAAATAATACATGCATCATGACTAGGGCCCTCACTGGACACTGCAAGCTGAATAAGCACATGGCGAAATCAATCTACAGATTTTGGCAAGTAGAAGAGGAAAGGCCAACTACACATCCTAACCCTATGTGGGCTACATAGGGTTAGGATGTGTAGTGGTCTAATGTATAGACGAAATACCTCCTTTGGAAAGTATACACTATACCTTGAGGAGATAAAAACCATCGCTCCTAAGAATATCCTTCAACTCTTGTCCCTCACTGGTCTAGGTAGCGAACTTTGAATAAGGGCGAGCACATAGATCTATACAGGTTGCAGTGTTACAAGTCTTACCTGACAATAGCGCAAACCTCCCAATAAAAAATATATACCTACCCGGCATTTTTTCTCTACTTGAAAAAAGCAATGGATTCACAATTCCGTAGTAATGGTAGTATCCCTTCCAATAAATCCCATTCCTTTTCAAACGGGGATCATAGCCAAGACATGCTGTGCCGAGCTTCGAACCCCTTGTAGCACCCGCAGACTGAAGTTGTATCCGATAGATAGGAATTGGTCTGCAGCTCCTTCATGATCCTTCCGCGGATTTGGAGTGACCAACTCTGAACTCGTTTCCGTTTACGTCCTATGAAGCTGTTAAGATCAGATTCGAATCAACAGCATAAGAATAGTTAAGACGAGTGTGTCAACACAATAAAATTGAAAGGTATTTTTCAGCATATTTTCTATGTCAGAGAACTTGCGTCTACCGTCACCCAAATATTACACACATGTTTTTGACACACTCACGCATATATACTCGTTTGTATATTGTTAAAGTCTGTGGTCAAAGTGATTAATATTATTTGTCTATAGTCTTACTGGATGTCAAATTAACAGTAATATATTCATTATGGTCGAATTTCGACTACTGGACGAAGTCGTATTCGTCAGGCTGGCCTTCAGCCTTCAGCCAGCATAAATCCTTCAGCGAGTTTCAGTGCCATCTGCACTTGCCCGCTATCTTCCGGTGTAGCTGTGGCCTATAATATTAGAGTAGTCCGAAAAAGTTATATACAACATTATACATTTGAATCGGTAACTTTTACTTTACAGAATGTAAATAATAAAGGAACAAATCTAAAATATAATAAATTAATGTTAAATAAAAAATTTGCATTTCCTTTTAGTTGTTGTTTAGGGTAATATAATAGTCTAATGGAAAGGAGATCGTAATGTAAGTAATAACGGTCTTCCATTAAAGAGGAAGGAAGTACATTTTATAAAAACTTTTTAATTTCTAACCTCTCGGAACTAATTACCCAGTTTATTAGAAACTAGAGGCGCGCATCAGCTTCGCACGGTTATTTAACAAAAAGATATAAATTTTAACACACAAACACACATACACACTTCGATATTAATTTGCTTCATAAAATTGTACATCAACGGTATATCACTTTACTCTATTGATAATAATTCCAGCAGCGTACGCGATAATAATATAAGGTTTTTACCGGTATTTCTTTTTTCACACGTGATAAATAATCGAAGTTATCATTCGGATTCCTAGAGTTTTTGTAAAAATTCTATCACCAGGTATAATGTAGAATTCTAGTAGTAAAAGAATTTTTCAAATAGGTCTAATAATTTGGGAGCCTATTCATAGCAAATGAACAAACAATCACGTTTCCTCTTTATAATACTAGATTAGACTAGTATTATAAATATATAAAAATCTCACAGATTCATACTCCTCTGAAACAGCTTGACCGATTTTGATGAAATTTTATATGTACATCAATAGGTCTGAGAATAGGTTTATAACTAATTTTTATTGAAAATTTAGGGTTGTATATATTTTTAAATGCTACATTATAAAAAAAAATAAAAAAAAGATTACGAAAAATTTTTTTTCTATCAACAACCCCTATTTCTTAATAGCGATTTTAATTTATATGGCAAAACGTTTGCCGGGTCATCTAGTTATAGATATTATTTATAATATGAAAAAAACATTTTTTATTAATTGCTACATTTATTTTCATTTTTGCAATACAAATATTAGCATCAAACATCATATATCTTATATTTTATATTATATGCTTACCTATATTTTTTTATTCAGGCAACTAATGGCCCATATTATAAATACCTTACAGACTAATATACATATGAATAATATAATTATAAGAAAAGATATATATTGAAAATGTAAGTAAGAATAAAATAATAAGAACAACACGTAACGAGCAAGTTTTTTGCAAGATCTTTATGTGTTGAGTTGTCTGAGTCTGTGTTCCGAATGAGTGGTAGAATAAAAATGATTGACTTTTGAAAAGTGCTTATATTAAGTATATATTGGTAAGTGATAATTTCTATTTGTAATAAATACAGGAGAATTCACACATTACTACCTAACCCCAAACTCGGTAGATATTATTTTATGCTCAAACTAAGTTAAGCTCGTTCCAAAACTTTATTGTACATTTTTGTGACACATTGTTAGTAATGTGGACTTAATATCCCATTACTAGCAATGTACCATGTCGGGTTGACCTCCACGTGGTTCCCCCTGTAAACCATCGTGATAAATTCTTGGTGAATTTGTCACGATGGGCTAACTGACCTGACCTCATGCTCATCTTATCATCCTCCACTGGTGCCCCACCAGCGTAAACCGTTAGCACAGGCGGGTGCACCATTCCATTATCATCCATAAAAAAGCACACTATCACGTCCACGCGTTTTCCCCTGGAAACCATCGTGATAAATGCCTGGTGAATTTGTCATGATGAGCTAACTGACCTGACCTCATGTTCATCTTTTCATCCTCCACTGGTGCCCCGCCAGCGTAAATCGTTAGCGCAGGCGGGTGCACCATTCCATTATCATCATTAAAAAAAACAGACTATCACGGGGGGGAAAGGGGATTGTTAGTAATGTGGACTAATGATCCTATTGCTAGAAATGTACCATGTCAGATCGACCTCCACGCGGTTCTCCCTGTGAACTATCGTAATAAATTCTTGGTGAATTTGTCACGATGGGCTAACTGACCTGACCTCATGTTCATCTTATCAACCTCCACTGGTGCCTCGCCAGTGTAAACCGTTAGCGCAGACGGATGAACCATTCCATTATCATCTATAAAAAAAAAATACAATGCAATCATACTTGTTAATAAAAATGTTTGAATTGCACTAGTATAATAATAACCAACTACTAAATCGCTAGACCACAGTAGCATTCTATAGTGCTCTTTCTTCGCATTCTGGTAATGGAATGTCTTCACAAGTGTTCAGATGATTACTCGATGAAGTGAATGCATCATCTTCCAGATCTATGTCTAACTGAAAACAAAATCAGGTATACCTTAATCAATGAGAAGTCTTCTATAATATCGATATTATGTTTTCTCTAATAACATAAAATAAAATTCGATAATTTATGACCTAAAAAAAGATATCATTCGAATGTAGTAATTGAGATGATATTAAACAGTATCCGATACTTGTTGACCAAAAAATCATTCGAAGAGGAAGAGGCCAAGAGGAAACATCGATTTGTCTCATTCGATATTGATCGTAATACTAAACATCGATGCTTATACTTCAATATCGACGTCAATCATGTAAAATCGATCATCTATATATATTAATACGAGAATAACTTATACCTCTTTCTTTAGTCTCTCCTCTTATTTTATATAGAATGCAATTTTTTTTTTAATTATGCATTAAAAAAACAATAAATCAATAAACAAATAATTTCACACACTACTATTTATTTGACGCACACACACACACAATATATTCTTTTGTTTATTGTCGAAGTCTGTGGTCAAATTGAGAATAGATTAATATTGTTTATCTTTAATATTATTTGTCTATAGTCTTACTGAATGTCAAACATAGCCATAATCATTTTTTTTTTATTAGGTCACCAACAAGGTTTACACCAACATTGTTACATTATATATAATACATTACAATCTATTTATTATACTAAGCGCAACCTTAATTATAGGCATCTACGACATTTATGTGACAAATTTGTGCTTACAATTAACAATTAACAAAACATAAGAAACAACTTAAAATTCTACCTATAAAAATACAGTATTTACAGTACAGTACAGTGTTTACTAAATACAGTATATTTAAACTAGTTATAGTTAATTTTCGATCACTGGGCTATCACTAGTTCCTATAATCAGTTCTATAGACATAGAAAAGAGGCAACTAAAATTGAAATGTAATGTAAAATGTAACTACTCACATCTATAGATTCCCCAGCCTCGTATTCAGATGGACTTGATGTTGATTGTTTCTGAAAAGTTATCGAATATATAAAATTACATCTAATTTCCTTCAACTCCGCTCGACACACAAACAGACATAATCACGATTTTTTTTTTGTTTATTATATACCAAGGTCCTATAGTAATTTAAATATGGTAATATTAAAATTACTATAGGTTTCACTTAATTAAAACATAATATATTTTATTTGAGCTAAAATAAAAATAACCAAATAGATAACGAATGAATTATCTGAACAACCAAAATGATGAATGTGGAAGTTGTACATCCTTATATCATTATATATTATAAAACAAAGTCGCTGTCGCTGTCTGTCCGTCCCTATGTATGCTTAAATCTTTAAAACTACGCAACGGATTTTGAAGTGGTTTTATTTTAATAGATATAGTGATTCAAGAGGAAGGTTTACATGTATAATACATGTACTCCCGGGCGAAGCCGGGGCGAGTAGCTAGTAATGTATATTATATACTGATACTAGGAATATGTCAATTTTATTATATGTAAAGATAAGGTGATATAAAACAATACAAGTAACTACATGCTATATATTTATAGGATGCTTAAAATGAAATTATTACAGTAACTCACAATACTCTTTCTTCGTATATGTTCCTTTAGTTGCTCCTTTTGTTTACGTTTGAAGAAACCAACCTGAAATGAAATTACTTAAACGTTATTATTTTTTCAATTTTGCTATTTTGTCTCGGCACTAACCAAAATCTTGACAAAAAAGAACTAATTTAAGGACCAAGCCTATAAATTAATATGATATATAGTAACTCGATAAAAAAAATATTTGTCCTTCTCTCTTCAGCTGTCTGTAAGTATTTTTCATATATGTTGTAGTTTTATTATATATGTATATATATTTTAGTTTTAAAGAAAATACGGAAAAATACTTGGAATATGGATATATATATTAGGACAATGTTCTCTGATTGGACAGAGATTAAGTGCGTAGAGGCTTCTATGTTGATTGTCGCATGCCTAATCGTTGTTAATGTAAAAATAATTAAATCAATATTTATTTAAAAGAGCAACACACAAGTTTTATGCTCATTCTTCTTGTGATGAGTCTGCATTCCGAATGAGGGGTAGAATAAAAAAACATGACTATTGTTATGAGTACAATATCTATCAATATACAATATATACAATATCTATGTATTTGTACAGATGACTGTACAAATACATAGATATTTTTTTCGTAAATACATACATAATAATATCTATGTATAAACATAGAAAACACCCAGACTGATACAAACAATCATACTCATGAATACAAATGTTTCTGTCGCTCGAGGAATCGAACCCGCGACCGCCGAAAGTAAGGCGGTGTGCTAAACGGCTAGACCAACGAGGCCGTCAAAAATTGTCTAGATATATGATAAATTACACTTACCTTATATAAAATATATGATATAACTAATAATACTAGCAGCGCCAATAGCACTGCACCACATATTATAGCTGTTTTGTCCTGGGCCAGACTTAATTCCTTTCTGAATATAATAGTTGTTGTTGATCTAAAACAAAACAATTACGAAAGGTAATTTCAAATCCATACGTATAAACAAAATTGGAGTGTCTGTTTGTAATTTCAATATAACCGTTTTACTGTATGCATATGAATCTAAATACACCAAATAACAATTTTTACAATTTTTGTCTGTCTGTCTGTTTGTTCTGGCTAATCTCTGGAATGCTAAACACAACATAGTGTGTAAACAACATGTAACAACATGTAAACTACTGGTATATATATATAATGGCCTATGCGTCTATTATAGACGATTTAAGGCGTAATGGTCCGTGAACAGCTTTTTTCGTGGCTGTATAAACCAATATATATATATAATGGACCCTCCATTACGGGTTTGCGCCAATGCTGTGCTCTATTTGAAATGTGGCCATGTCTATTATAGACGACGCTTCTGTTTTTAGGCTGTCACGCCATGAAATGCCCAAAATTTTGCGTAGACAACGCATGTAAAAAGTGTTAAACTACTGGTAACGAACCTAGTTATTCTAGACAGAGAGGATTTTTACTAAAGAGAACTAGTGGACCCATTGCTAATAATGTAGTCTATCAAGTACTCCTAGAAACGTGGTTAATTATTCGTAACCACAACATGGCGCACCCCTATACATAGTATTTCCATTCCGGAGGTTGTTTGTAATGAGAACTGCGGGCCCGCTGGAACCAATAGTGGTGAATATACCACGAAGGACTGATCTGACTTCATCCGTATATATTATTCAACATTTCATTATCATCCATTAAAAATAAAGATACGTTAGAATGAAAAATTGTTACGTACCTTTGTTTCATTACTGTAGTAGTTGGGTGTAAAAATAGTGACATATTTGAAGTTATAATTAATTTACTGTCGCCAAGATTTTGAACTGAAATGATAAAACGTAAATATAATAGAAATACTTATAATAAGAAAGGAAAATGGTGGCAATGGTGGCAAATGGTCGTAATAGTTAATAGCATGTACGAGTATACCTCTAAATAATTATTTTCACTAGTGTAGAGAAAGAACATCACTTACTTAGCTTATTGTTGAAAATTGGAATTGTCGTTCTCAGCGTGACAGTTGAATTTGGCATCAAATTGAAGCTGCATTTGACTAAACCTTTATCTACGTCATCTCGATCGCAACTACTTGACTCCGTCCATGCCTGATCATAAATATTTATTATTCATTAACATTAAAGTTGCCGTGAATTCATTTGCTTTTAAGATACGTGGCAATAGCCATCATAGATCACATAAATAAATAAATGCAGTAAAAATCGGATACAAACGCAATGTATCCGGATAGTCGCTATGAGCAATGTTTATAATTAATATATCGATTCGGTCGGGACCCTGCCGTTTAGCCGTGATAACTGATCCGTCGCTGTAACCGACGTCGTTATATCTGGTTTGTATTGCATACTTACAGATTTTGAGTTGAAATAATAAATTAAAATGTTAATCCATATCTCCTCGGTATAAATGTTATAAAGTCAAATGTCTGTATATCTGTATATATAAACAGTAATTATAACGTAACGAAATATGTGAAGAGCTATTTTTAACCTAAAAAAGCAGTCAAAGTCTAAAGGTTTGTTCAGCATATTTCCTATTTAGGTTGTCACACATGGTCACACATGGTGAAATAATATTTAAATGATTTTCGGTATCGCATATTGCATAATAATATAATAGAGCAATAGCTTTACTCAAAAAAGTATTTCACTTACCTTAAATCCTGATATATTTATATAATCTTCTTGATTCACGGTTATAACAGCTGTGATATTCATCCAAGTTAAAACACCGTAGTTAATTATCTGAAATTAATATTATTCTTTTGGTTAATATATGAAAATTTACCTTTTGAACATTTTAATACTAGCTGTATCCGCGAATTCGTCCGCGGATACAATGAGAAAATATTTAATGGCCTAACTCAATACAAGCCAAATAACAAAGTGTCATCATATTAGCTTCAAAAATGATGATACAAAACAATTCATCAGTAGCCTAAAAATGAAGTTTCAAGCATCTAGCTTCGATAATGAGGAGACTTCTATACAATCTTTCCTTACAACCCTTTTTTCGCATTCAAAAGTAGCCTATGTCCTTTCTCAGGGTCTAGACTATCTGTGTATTAAATATCATATAAATCTGTTTAGTAGTTTTGACGTGAAAGCGAGACATACACACAGACAGACAGAGTTACTTTCGCATTTATAATATTAGTAAAGATTTATATAAAGAGAATAGTATAGAGAACTAAAATATATACTTACCAAATATTCCTGTGTTGCACTAAATGATTCGCTCTGTTTATCTAATATTTCTTTATCAGTTATCGTATTATTCTGTTTAGATCTGTAAACCATCATCATTACACAGTATAAAATAAAGTCACTATCGCCGTCTGTCCCTATATATGCTTAAATCTTAAAAATTACGCAACGGATTTTGAAGCAGTTTTAGGTATATAATACATGTACACCCGTGTGAAACCGGGGCGAGTAACTAGTTTTATAATATAATGTTGTAACATTTAACATTAAAAATATACTCTATCCATATATTTAAAATAACGTAATGTACATTCGTCGTATCGTATCTTGATACGACACGACGAACTAATTAACAACATTATAGAAGGAAAAATATATGGAAAGAGAGGAAGGGGAACACTAAGACACAGCTATATCAAGCAAGTTAAAGAAAAAGTTGGAGTCGTGTCGTATCAACAGCTAAAAGGACTGATGGAAGATCGTGGAAGGTGGTGGGAACTCCACCGACAAGAGCACAGCTCTTAAATTATGAATGAATGAATGTACAATAGGCTAGTATATAAATAAGACCAGTCTAAAATTATAGGTTGCATCTCGTAGTATCATAACGGCGAAATGAGATAGGTAATGCATTTTTAATCAATGTAGGCAGTTAGTCCCATTGATTAAAAATGCATTACCTATCTCATTTCGATTTTATTTATATGTAGATACTTACCTACATATATATACAGACACATGGTCTTTAAATCGGTGACGACATCGAATCGGTGGTCGACGTCTTTGATTACATCATGTGTAGGGAAATCATCAAAGAAAAACTATGATGATCACAATTATGAAAGTTAGGACACTATGTAGATATATTTACGTACCAAAATAGCAACATCTGACTGTCACATTGTATGTTTTATAATTTCACTGTATTTTCTATAATATTGTTCATTAATTACAAAATAAATTTATTTATTTATTTATATACAATTAGTAGTACGCATATTGATAGAATATGGGAATTAAAACCGCTATTATTAAAAACGGGCCTAGTTATTATAAACCTATACAAAAATATTTTTTTATATTTAGTTATAATTACCATCCTACCCCGATCGAAGAAGCTGAGGATGAGAAATGAAGGGGTAGAGAATGTTTTTTTTTATTTATTTTAAACTTCAGACACTTTTGTACAAAGTACAGTCCCATTGTACCATTACTCCATTACTAATTACTCCATCACCTCACCAGTTAACAAATTACTTTAACCGCACTGTCTGAAGGATCGGCTAGAATAGTTTGTATGGCACCAACATCCAATATATTTATTCTATTGCCTGATGTTATTTTATGTCATAGAATCTCGTTTCTAACACACTCCATCAGCAAATTATATACATCTTCTATTGTACCATATATTTTACAATTTTGTGAATTGCTTTTTTCATAAGGATCTAGTTGCAAAAGACATATATGGTGTCCGGAACAGAGTAAAATGGCGAAGAAATATAAAGAATGCTGCCATCATCATGTGGAATATATAGCTAGGAAGAAAGATATTTAGTTATAATTACCCTTTACATAAAATGTCATCCATATTGAACGATAATGGTATAGATTTATTGTAGGTTTCATAACTCGACTCAGTGTCATCAATTTGGAATGGTTTAGGACAGTCGCTGTACAAACGCACACTGGTGTTTATGTGTTCATACAAATTCGTTAGCATCCTCATGTTTAATGTTATATAGATTTCATGCTGAAATTTCATATCTATTATTATTACAGACTGACATAAAAAAAATTGTAATAAAAACTAGTAAACACCGCACATTTAACTACTTTCTTTCACCATGACGAAAAAAAGCAAAAGTGAAATACTATTTCATTTTTTAATAATAAAATTGATAACATAATCCCAGTGGAAGACTGAAAAATTTATGTGTGGCTACCAAGCAGCTAAATAAGCTTCCTTTAAAGCTATGCTTCGGTTGTATAGTGGAATAGAATAGAATAGAAATAATCTTTATTCAAATAAACTTAATATAAGCACTTTTGAACAGTCAAGTTTTTTTATTCTACCGCTTATTTGGCATATTCATCACAAGAAGAATAAGTAAGAAACTTGTGTGTTGCTCTGCTCTTATAGTAAAATCAGGCAGCAAAAAGTACAGGATTAGAAGCATAACATACATGTCCTCTGGTATAGCAACGCATGAGAGGTAAGTCGTCCTCTTATTTGCTAAATTAATTAAAGTTACAAAAATATTCATTTTCTACTTTATATCTTTTAGGAATTTTGTTTCCAAATTCATGAATGTTATCATTGGCCTTTGGTTCGTGGCCCTTTACTGGCTCTGTATACAAAGAGTTACTTACATTTACATTCCGTTTCAGAGGGTTCGGTAAATGGCAGATATATCCACCGGCGAGGTTGGTACAGTTAATTTGTGCCACTTGCGCGCCTCGCAGATATATCCACATACACCCTTTGTACGAACTGTTACCGCTATTATGAACTTGTACAGTTATAGACTCGGTTTCGGCCGATCTCACCACATATGTTTCATTACTGTTGGTCAAAACAAAAAATGTTAATGAAGTAGAAAAATAAAAATGGCATAGTCCAAGTAAAATGCGCAAATCGAAGGGCCCTAACATGTATTACAACTCTCTAGAATCAGATAGATGCCGATAATGTTAAACTTTAATTATTATATTCTATAGTATATATAACTCAAAGGTGACTGACGTAGTGATCTATCAAAGCACAGCCCAAACCACTGGACGGATTGGACTGAAATTTGGCATGCAGGTAGATTTGATTAATTTTGATTAATTCTACCCTCAAGGGGATAAAATAGGGGATGAAAGTTTGTATTAATCTTTGTAAATTTTAAACCGATCGGGCTGAGACTTTGCATGCATAAAGCTACTATGACGTAGGCATCCCATAAGAAAGATAAATTCCACCCCAAGGGGATAAACTAACGCGAGCGAAGCCGCGGGCATAAGCTAGTAACTATATAAAATCAGATCACGAGACTAAGTATATTTAAAAAGAGTTTTACTTTATTTTATAAGCTTCTATTTTATAAGCACAATAGTAACTATAATTACTTCACTTATTTTTTTATTTATGTATGTAATATTATCTCATCTGTAAATCAAGTTACCTTATATTTTTTATTTTGTATCACACTTTATATATTAAGTAAGAAACCGCAACTATAAATATATTAATATTAATAAATCGCATCATATGATATCCCTAATGCGTAAGTGTAAACCATTAATTTTACAATTTAATTTAATTTTATAAGTGTAGTACAATACAAAATCTAAAATAGAATATTTATAAGAACAATCACAATTTACAAATTTAGAGTGATACAGGACTCACATACAATTGACGACCTCGGTGGTCTAGCGGTCTAGCACACCGCTTTACGTCCGATGGTCGCGGGTTCGATTCCTCGCACGGCACAAACATTTGTATTCATGAGTAGGTATAATTGTTTGTATCGGTCTGGATGTTTTATATGTATAATATGTATGTTATAAGAAAAAAAAAATTATCTATGTATCTGTATCAGTTATCTAGTACCCATAACACAAGCTTTAGCTAGCTTAACTTGGGACTAGATGGCACTGTGTGAATTGTACTGAGATTATTATATTATTATTATTATTAAAATACAAGAGTATACATTATCTTACACTAGTTGGACCAACACGTAACTGTACGAGCTACTACATATTGTTCCTCGTAAGATATTAGCAATTAATTTTACTATTTTATGAGCACTATTAATTATATACAATTCTATAAATAGTTGATATAGTAGACGGCATCCCCAATGGAATAGCCATGTCTCGTCCGATCAATCCCCTAAGCCCGCGATGGATTCTCTGTCGCATTTTCACGACAACGACGGAAATTACCACGGCCCTAGCCAAGGTTCCTAACCGCAGACTAAAGTGGTATCCTTCGGATAGGATTTAGACCTTCAGCTCTATAAGTGTTCGGATTCCCACTGCACTTGCCCGATTTTTATCTGGTGAAACTCTAAAAGGCAGCCACGGCCATTAAAATTAGAATTATCAAAAAAAAGCGGCAAACCCCAAGCACGTACGGTTTTGATTTCTTGTGGCTCGATATAAAAAAAGAGGGAAATCAATGACAAAAGTAACGAAATGAGAGCAATTGAAGGCACTGGTATAGCGCAAATTCTTTACTTCTAATGTCATGCAATACAACTAAATATAACAATATAATTATTATAAAAACATGAACAATAAAATATATAAAACAGTTTGTAACATATATAATTACAAGTTTAAATAAGTTCATTGTAAACAATCGACTTATCAACATATATACTTATACGACTTATAGGTATAAGTCGTATAAGTATATATGTTATAATTGAAATATAAAATAATAAATATAATGAATGGAACTAAATAAAATTTAGTTGATAAATGTTTTATAATACCTTCCAGACCAGATAATAGACATAGACAATTGTGGTAGACAATCATCTCCAGTACAGAAACGGAAAATGTCCAATACTTTCGCTTCCAGCGTACTATCTGGATGTATAGTCACCCAGCTCTTGTTGAACTCTAAAATTGATCAATAGGTATATTTTATAGTACTGATAAACAGATATAATTTTATATGCTCAATACTTTCTTCAAAATCCGCTATGATAGACATTAAAAAGACGTCGTCATGGCGGCGTGGATAACTCATTCTCACTATGTAAAAGATAATATCTTATCTGTGGTCTCACTTATTCCAGTTGCTAAGCAGGTTTGCTTTGTAATCTGTATCGGTTAAAGGGCGAGATAGGACAATGAAATGTGATTTCATTGTCCTATTTCATATACATGACTAAACATTTTAGTCTTGAGTGGTATCCCCATAGTCACATGATAACGCGATGTCCGTAGTTCTATTCATTTATATAGGCGGCGGTTACCATTTACCGTCAGTGAAGGTAGCCAATCCATTTACGTAAAAAATTAATTAAAAAATTCTTAGTATTTAGAAACCAATAGATTATTCAACAGATTTTTATGCTTCTCTTTAACTTGCTTCTATATATTGTACATTAGAACCTTTTGTAGTTTCATTTTTAATTATTAACGCACCTTTTGTATTTGTAATATTAGTGTTATTCATGTAAACCTTTGAGAAAAATTTATAATCTCCCTTTTCATTGTTATTCTGAAATAAAAAGTAACGTCAAAAAACATTTATAAAATATTCTTAACATAATATTGTATTAACTTATTTTTTTGGAACAGTACTTTAATAATAAATGTATAGCATCGATTTCCCAAAATTTAAGTTTTAAAAGCCTAATTACTAAATGTTTAAGTTAATTTCATCTTTGGTTATAATTTGGTATGTTTCAAATTTAAAACAAAAACTAAATTAAAAAGGCGTTATTACTGTTTTCCAGACATTATTTAACCAAAGAGTATTATTATATACGTACATACAAATACTCTTAATATTAAAGTCGTTTCTTATCTTATTTTCATTTCTATTTTGTTCATTACATGTTACTTACCAATTTAACAGTGACATTTTCACAATATCGTGGTTTTTTCTCCTCTAAATCAATAGTATATTTTCTATGTATCTTCTCTATGGAGGCTTCTACTCCTCTGATATCATTAGACACGAGAAGTTCTGTAAAACAAACAATCAATCAATATTTTTTTGCAAAAGTTCCCATCCTTTCCCGTTCTTGTAAGCGTTTGTTCTACATTTGTACATTACCATCTATTATTGATGATATTTTTTTATACCACGATGTTGGCAAACAAGCGGCCGTTCTGATCGTAAATGGTTACCGTAGCCAATGGACATCTGAAACGCCATGGTGTTATATCCCCGTTGCAGATCCTTAAGAAACCTTATTATAACTGTTCTTGAAAAAACCTCGGCAGGTAGTTCATTCCACAATCTAAGTGTACGCGGGAAGAATCACCTCTGTCCGTATGACACACATCATGACTCTATGACTTTAAAGTACATTTATGTGGAATACTAGCTGAAATTTATAGCTATGTGTTATTCTGATGTATAAGCTATATTATTGTGAAGTTTCATTAAAATCTTTTCGGTAGTTTTTGCATAAAAGAGTAAAAAATATCCATCCATCCACACTCAAACTTCCGCGTTTAAATATGAGGAAGAGTAAATCACTTAATACAATATGCTTTGCCTTAATCTATTTGGCATATAGTTTACATACAAAACAAAAACAGTAATTGTCACATTAAATAAACTATTTTATTTCACAAGAGAAAGAGATAATTTTATTTATATTGAAATATTTAATATAAATAAAATTAGTAAATATACAAACATTCAATTATACAATTTTTCTTTTTTTCCTTAGATGTACCTACATAGACGATGATTAGTACTTAATATCAAGTCAGATTACTTGCTATAATATTTGTTTTTATAGAAGCTTACTAAGATTGAACTAATCTGAAACAACAAAGTAGGCAAGGTAAAGCATACATTTTGAACTTACGAGCATTTATGTGGTCCATTTTTGAGAAGTACGACACGTTTACACAGACGGTCACTGTGAAGTTGTTATCTTGTTCTCTTACATTCTGAAAATATAATGTAACACCAACATTTCTCTATGCCTTCTCAATATACTTTACAAGTATTTTGCACATAAAGAATTAATAGTAATAGTATATCTGGACAATATTACGCCATCTAGTTCCAAACTAAGCAGAGCTTACGTTATGGTTATTAGACAACTGATAGAAATACTTCAATACATTTTAGAAACCGGTAGACTACCGAGGTCGCAATAAAATAACGTTTATTACTGCTTAATAATAGCAAATTTTTGGAGTAAATTGATAGTAAGGGTCATTAGAGATCGCATTTTTAGCAACCTTCGTCGACCTCCATACCTCCTGGAACCCATTCCGTTTGATTCCCTGCGAATTAGCTCAATTTACCTTAGGAATTGGGCTAAATCAGTCGAAGACGGAATGAGGATTAAGGGAGCCATATATGTTACCGCAAGAGGAGCACCATTCCATTATCATACGATTAAAAATTGTAGAACATCATTGACTATACTTAAATACTGTGAACATATTTCATACCACATTTATAGTAAGTAAAGACGTACTGATATAAATAATTGCGTCTATTTTGGTAAAAGCGCGTTTACCGCTAATCCAGCTCCATTTATCGTATGTCCTCGGTTTCAAGACCCTCTCCTTGATGTGAAGCCAAATCTCGAGGTCCTTGGCGTTGATATATCCAGTGACGTTCAGTTTTGCGGTCATTTGGAGGACAAGGCTAAAATAGCCTCAAAAAAGCTTGGTGTGCTCAGTAGTGTGAGACAGCGAAGGCTCAGAGCCAGCCACATATGGAATACTATTCTCATCTCTGGGCGGAAGCACCACAATACCAGCTACTTCCATTTGACCGCATTCAAAACCGAGCAGCCAGAATCATTGGTAATCAACGTCTATGTATCAGACTCGGCCCATTGGCATTGCGGCGAGATATTGCATCACTGTGCATTTTCTACCGCATATATCACGGGGAGTGTGCTGAGGAATTGTTTGGATTAATACCAGCTGCTGAGTTTCACCACCGTATCACCTGCCAAAAACTGAAATACCATCCTGATCATCTGGATGAATGGCGGTTTTCCACAATGCGGTTTTCTAGAAACTTTTTGCCACGCACAATCACAATGTGGAATCACCTTCCAGCAGTGGTATTTCCAAACCAATACGATATTGAAACCTTCAAGAAAAGAGCTTATTCCTTTTTAAAAGGCCGACAACGTACTTGCAATTCCCCAGGTGTTGCGGGTGCTCATGGGCGGCAGTAATCACTTACCATCAGGTGAGCCGCGTGCTCGTTTGTCCCCTGTGTTATAAAAAAAAAAAAAGCATCGATCTCAAATATCAGTTTACTCAATGAACATATGTAAATATTACCTTAATTCCATGAAGTTCTGAAGTAATATTGACCTGTATTCGGGGTATACAGCGGAGCAAAATTGCATTTTGACTGAAGGGAGCACCCATAACAACTTCTGTAAAAAAATATAAAAAAATTAATTTCTTATTCCATAAAAAACAATAAATATATAAAAAAATTTAAAAAACTGCGACGCCCGACTGTTTTCAGCAATAGATAGACTGACTTAAAATGACTGTATATGTATAATTTATATGTATGTATAATATATATTATGATACAGAAAAGCCGAGAAATTCTAAGATAATTTATATCTTAGAATTTCGATTTTAGATATAAAGAAATTATAAGAAATTCTAAGATAATGCACCTGATGCATGCGATAACTCGAGGCGGGTCACTAGTTTAACAATAGGACTTATTTGACTTACCATCACATCCATTCTTATCCAAATCCGGCAAGACTTGGATACTAAAGCCTAAATAACGAAACAACTCATTTTGTATTCGCTGCGTGAGAGTCAACTTGGTCAAAAAAATTTGCTTAAACGTTTCATGTTTTTTCAAATCTTTATAAATCTCATAACCAGATATAATATACAATGCGCCATTTCCGGAATTTTCATAAGGAGCGCTTACAAATATTTCTAGAAAAAATAATAACCAATCATAATTAGGGCCAATCATAGTAACAACAGTGGGCACGATATATATTTGGGGGGAAAGGGGATTATTAGTAATATGGACTTAAGTAATATCTTAGTGTCAGGTTGACCTCCACGCGGTTCCCCTCGGAAACCATCGTGATAAATTCTTGGTGAATTTGTCATGAAGGGCTAACTGACCTAACCTCATGTTCATCTTATAATCCTCATTAGCCCAGACGGGTGCACCATTTCATTATGATTTCATCATATATATATGTTTAATAAATTTGAAAACAGGTATGTTTACCTACAGTAAATCTCATTGGAATCATTTCAGTGCCTATATGCCATATGTATGCAAAAAAATATCATTTTTAATTATTTATATACATGCTAAATTATATAGGTATACCTTTTTTAATTTTACCTTTTTTTTTATTTCTATTTACATTGAAACTGAAAGTACTGAACTGTTTTTTCTTTTTCTATATATATTTGTATAACTAATTATGTTTATGTAAATTAGTATTTATCGATTATATATTACTTTTGCATTCTGTACAATTTATAGTTCGTATTTTAAGTAGTAGTTTTTAACATTTTATGTTTGCACCAATTATTACCCACTATACAATATAACCTATGCCATTCTTTTGGGTTGACTGAGAGTTGCAGAGATCTCTTCTGGGGATAAGTCTACCTTTGCTCACATTATCTCTTAATTATATTATTAATGTATCTGGGAATAAAGAATATATATTGTATTTGCTTCCAGTATCCTTAGTTATATCATCTTTCTACTTAACTACAGACTGACCTTTTACCCACGCATTTGTACCCACGAAGATGACTTTTATCAAAATCTACCTCGATGAGAGTCAGTTCATAATATATTCAATTGCGATAGCCCATTCGGGATCGATGAGATTAGAAGCTGTGACGAGTATAAGAGAAATTATAAACCTTACCAGGTATCCCATCACCGTCTAAGTCATTCGTTGCAATAGTTGTTCCAAAACGTGATCCATCATTATTGCTGATGATTGTTCGCTGCCGGTCCAAGTCCACAGTTTTCTTTGAAAGGAATATATTAGAAATACTTTAAAAAATAATTAATAATTAAAAATATGCTTTTAATTATTTTCTTTGTTGCGTTTTTATATCGTGTATGTCTTCCAGATTTTAAACTATTTGTTGATCGTGTAAAATCTCTTGAGAGGTGATTCTGCATTGAGAATCCAGCCTCAGATATTCCAGCTAATTAATTAATAATAATAATGTAGTCTATGACCCCATAAAAGGGAGATATATAATATATATATATATATATCAATAATAATATTAATCTCTCTCATAATATAGGAGTACATATCATAAAATGTACGTAACATGCATTTCTACAGTATATCTACAACTTTTGAGACGTAGTAGTAAATTTGTGAAGTGAACTCCTAAAATATTTCCCCTTCGTTTATTATATATATTCTTATTATGTTTATTTTGATATTAGTAGTAATCGGTACACATTATATACTAAATAATTATATTATATATACATATTGAAAGTTAAGAATAATGAGTACTAGGTATATGATTGACCTCATTGTGTCGATAAAGTTACCTCTCAGTTGCACCTGTTGTTATTAAAGAAATTACAGAATATGGAGGCTTTACATCCTAGTTCTCCGAAATGGCAACGCATAAACGGTATCGTGGGCATGGTACCGTGATGTTGTAATACTGTTGTGTAATAGGCGACACTTACCACTTACCATCAGGAGTTGTCAGTTTGTTTGACTTTCCTATTACATAAAAAATAACTACCAGTTGAATTGGAAAGAAATTTAGTTCACAGATCAGATTAGGGCATATAATACTTTCTACCGCAATTAAGATATTGGCTCCAAAATAATACCTTTGCATTACCCAAATATATATGAACAGCACCCGTATCGGAGACAGTTCTGTCTCCTGATTGCGCCGGTGCACCAACAAGCAAGTCAGTAAGGCCATCATTGTTTAGATCACCAGCGCCGAGAGCAGCTCCAAACATTGATCCGACAGTAGTATCCTTTATACTACACTTTTCTCTATACTTTTTGAACATAGTCTTGTTTACACAGTCTGTATCAAATTTGTTATTTGTGACGTTATACCTTAGGAATATAATCTGGAATAAAATACATGTAAATTATGACCGAGTCAAATTTAAAAACAATATAAATGTTGTATACTTAAAAAAAAGTGTGTCTGTTTATAATTGTAATTAGGCAAATAGTTTATTAAAATGTATTGAAGTTGAAATTGAATTATAATTGGCATATTCATTTGCTGAATTTTAGATGAATCGTACACTCTTGACAGAGTGGTTGTGGCTTTTATGATGGTATCTCTTTGTTGGCATAGATAATTGGAAAGAAAGCGAAAATCTGAAAGTATTTTTTGGAATTTTATATTAAGTCTGCGCAACTTAGTCGTCTTCAATTTATCCATTTAACCATTCATTACTGTTCTGCTCCTATTGGTCGCAGCCTGATTTTATATAGCTTATAGTCTACCTCTATAAATGAGCTATTCGACTTTAAAAGAAATAAAAGAAACAAATAACTAGTACTGAATATTATCCCGAACATCCAAACTACAAATTTCATCTCTTTATACCTTTAGAATAGATCGACGGATTATTACATAAATGTTTTTGGTCAAGTTGTTAAGGTTGATAAATTAATAATGTGTAATAATCATAATATTTATTTATATACATATGTATAAGTACATATTATCAATATTATATAACTTTATATATTACCCGTAGCCTTTACAACACTCTCTTTATTCAGAACTATAAAATTTTCAACCGATTATATAAGTAAGCGTATTCATATAATTGACTAGTAGTAGTTAATTCTACTATTTATATAATGTAATTACAATATTTAATATATAATCTACATATGGTAAAAGGGCACCACAATGACAAAACAACTTCAACATTGTCGTCCCTTTTTTAGGTGTAATTTAATAATATATTATTTATGTCGTTTCTTCACCATACATGTTAAATAATGTACAAAATATATATCTACATATTTTATTAATATCTTGCATAACTTCCTCAGAAATCAGATTTATTGAAGCGTAAAGCAATCATATATGGTAAAAAAATGTCAAATTACTTTATCAATAAATGAAAACTACATAAAAATTATGAATAGAACCATCACATGAACAGTACTATATGGACATTACGTCATAAAGTGTCGCCTACGATGCTAGGTACTTATGTGTTGTTAACTCGTAAATAAAATAAGTAGCGGACTGTGAATTATTATATTTAATGCTAGAAGTTATGTTACAAGGAAGTATTTAATTAATAAGGTACGCGTGCGGTGCATCGTAGGCGCAAGGGAAAGTGAAATTGACCCGGCCTAGCAGTTGTCAATAGTTATGTTCGATAGCGCCCGAACACATGCGTTGCCATTCTGCAGGACCTAACCTTTTGTTATCATTATCTTACTCTTCAACCGAAACACAGCTTACAAAATAAGCTGCTTGGTGGCTGAGATAAATAGACAGAGATACCCACAGAGAGGACTCTTAACAAACCTCGGTTTGTTACTTTCACAGTTTATAAAATATAATATTTTCATTAAAGTACATGAAACCATACCTCTCCATACATGTCTACATTCCTCGCGCTCACTGCGTAAACTCGTTCGCTTTTATTGAAGAAGTTGCCAGCGGTCAAAGAAGTCCCTGAAACCAACGTGTTAAGTTACCAATCCTAATACATATTACATCTTAATTATTATCTTCATACAATCCAATTTAATGTATATCTAATATTTAAAGCATCATATATGTGAGGTGCGTAAATAACTTTACTCATTTACACTTTTGAGTCGGTCTGTCCGGTTGTGCCGCTGAATTTGCAGCAATCATGGATTTTTCGATTTGGATTCCGTACTGACTCTCACACATTTCTTGCCTTATTTCACACATTAATTAAGTTTAATATAGGGAATACATATACATTTAATCGAAGTTCAATACATATACGTGTCTAATTTTAAGTACAGAAGGCAACAGAATACCATCGCTGCAGATTTGTCTCTAGCTTTTATGCTGAGTTGGTTGCCTTGCCTTTGCGGCACATAAAGCTCCATATCTTTTATTTGTACATTCCTTTTTTCTGTACCTCAATTATGGTATGTGTTTGTAATTGATAAATAACAAATTTATGTATCTAAACTTTTTGACCGATCACTTTCCAATATTTCTCAAGATGTACACCCATTAAAAAGTATAATTTTATTTTCTTCTATTTGTAATAGCAACTGCCAGCTAAATTGTTAAATTGTCAGTCTATTAAACTATAAGGCTAATCTCTGAAATTGCTGGACCGATTTTGACGGGATTTTTTTTGGCAGGTTGCTGATGTAATAAGGAGTAACTTAGGCTACTTTTATTTTAGAAAAATAAAGTTAAATTCCACTCGGACGATGTCGCAGGAACAGCTAATATTCTGTTCATAAATGTGTACAGTTAATTGTTGTTGTACAATATTATTTTAACATTGCAGCGTACGTGGCATTCCTATTGCCGTCCCTTTCTTTTACTTCCGCGTGCTGTGCGTGGGAAATGATAAGATATAGTGAAATGGAATTGTCGTGCAATCAAATGCTAGCGATTTAAAATAGCGCGAGCCTTTGCGCATTGTCATTACAGAGAACTGCTGTTTTGCCTCCATACCCATTAATTGCTGTACATTTTATAAAATAATAATAAGCATATTTTAAAAACATCATACCAAAATGTTGGAAACGATTAATAAATTTTGCTAATTTCGTGATTTTGTAATTAGGAAATGTTATTGTTGCGCCAAATGGATTTTCTAGCTTTAGACGTACGAATGCGCCTTTGAATGGTGACGTCGAAGGTTTTGAAATCAATATAAGATTGTTCACGTCATCGATCAGTATCTTCCAACCTGTGCCGCCAGCGCATGCCTCTAAAACATACAATATTTTAAAGTTGTATAATGGCAATTTACATTTATTATGAATAAATGTAAATTCGCTCACTTGAGTACAAAGTGAGCAAGAGCATAACTTTTTCAATATTATTATAATAATAATAATCTCAGGACAATTAACACAGCGCCATCTAGACCCAAGTTAAGCTAGCTAAAGCTTGTGTTTTGTATTATGGGTAGTAGATAATTTTATATATATATACAAATATATAGATCTACGTTTTTTTTCGTAAATACATAAATATTATACATAGAAAACACCCTGACAGATACAAATAACTAAACTCATGAATACAAATGTGCGAGGTATCGAACCCGGGAACATCGGAAGTAAGGCTGAGTGCTATACCGCTAGACCACCGAGGCCGCCAAAATTATGTTAACCGATTAAAATAATACAAAAGGAATATTTTTAAAATCGTTTACCAAAGATATAAAATTTCTGACAGTAAGTTATTTTTTCTTTGTAAGCTGTGTTTCAGTTAAGAGTAAATGACAGAGAAACTGATAGCGCACTTGATAGAAAATACCAGCCATCCCAGAATGGAGTTACCATTGACATCCTGTCGTCGTGAGACTACCGAGGAACTTCTCCAAGATTCTGCCATTCCGTTGGTCTAACACTATCACATTGTTATAGCAAGATATTAAAAAAATAGAAACAGTAAGAGTATAAATATGTCGTCATACCGTCTTATCACCAGGATAGAAATGCCGACTAGGGACCAGAACTTAATTATGGAATTGATATAAGAGTAAGAAAACAGAATGAAAATCATCATACTCGGACGTTTGGACAGAGAGGTAATAATAGATGATTAGTAGTCTTTTAAGGGTAGCCGGCGCCCACATACCCCTGGTGTTTCGTGGTATAAAAGAAATACTACATGGTATAAAAGAAATGAGGAACTTATCACCTGTATTCGGATTTTTTTTATAGCACAAAGGACAAACGAGCTTGCGGCTCCTCTGATGCTAAGTGATTACCGCCACCCATGAGCACCCGCAACACCAGGGGAATTGCCAGTGCGTTTCTGGCCTTTTATTACTTTTTTTAAACAGACCAATACTAACAATCCTACTCATTAACACAAATGTGTGGTTTGTATGAGGTTTAGACCCGCGACCCGTATAATGAGTTATGATATACTCACGTGCGGACCTTTTCGGTGGTTCGGTTTTTTCTTGTTCATATTCCCCCCGATATCTGTTACTAGTGCCGTTGTATATGAAGCAGGTTCCGTATACGTACTTATCTAGTACGTTTTCATCTTTAAGTTTCGGTAATACTCCAGTCCATAATGGCGCACACGCCTACAAAGTATTTTTATTTAGAGGTTATAATAAGATATTATAAATGATAATATCTTGCTATAACCACAAGATATTATGTTATTTTCTGTAAATTATTTATCTTTTTTAATTTATATCCCATTATTACAACTTTCTAAAGGGGAATGTTTAAAAACCTTTTACGTTTAAAAACTTTCAATATCTAAATATTAAAAAAAAATTATGAAACAGTTAAAATACACATGATTGATTTGATTTAATACATAATATAATACAATAACTAGCAAATACACACTGTATCCAATGCCATACGCTATACTAAAATCAATAGTATATAAGTAAGTAAGAACGTAAGTACAAGAGCATTTGTTCAGTCATTGCACATTTTTAAGGATGTACTTGAATTTCCCTATTTAATACATGACTTCACTGAGTGCTTTAAAACTTATTATAATATTGCATTTAAATATTATAAAATGGATATTTGACAAGTTTTCACGAAGAAACAAGTTTAAACAGAATTCTTAATTACAGAGCGCTCCTTTATAATTTCAGTGTTAGATATTTAAATTAAATCTGCCAGTTTACATAAAATATTTAATAAATAGTAGGCAAGTACCATGAAGTAATCCGTAGTAGCGGCTACAGAAGCTCCCAGCATAAACTTTTGATCTGGATTATTATCTAAAAATAGATAATAAATTACAATACTGTAATGATCATTTCATTTTTATGCACAAGCTACAAATGCACAAGGAACAGAATATATATAAACTGATATTTTCCTGTTTCACAGTCATGTTTGATTTTTCGTTATGCCAGACTATGGCAACTATAGATTTCAATGAAATTTAACAATAAAGCAGGTTAATTTTCAACTTTAATATATAATAGCTTCTTTTGAATTTATTTAATTCCAAAAAATATATATTTCATTAAATAATATACCACCATTGTTATCCAGCGAGGTAGGTCGTGAATGTGCCTATAATACTGGCAGCGTTTCCTCTTTGAATCCTAACTAAATACCTACTTATAAATATAATTTCATTGGAAATTGCAATTTTAGTCACAAAAACAATTACTATTATATTTAAAAAATAGAGATTGACGGTAGAAGGTAGAAAATTTGCAGTTGTTTGTATTTTTAATGCCATATTATTAACAAAATGTTAGGGGTGGACAAGCCTTGTCACTTAGGAGTATGAAAAATAGATAGTAGCCGATTCTCAGACCTATTGAATATGCATATAAAATTTCATAAAAATCGGTCAAGCCGTTTCGGAAGAGTGTGGTAACTAACATTATGACACGAGAATTTTATATATTAGATCACAAAAAAAGTACCCCGATACAAATGAAAATTAAAAAAAAATCTATTTGATAAGTTAATTATGTTTACCTGTGACTGTATATGGTGTTAAATTTCTGAAATTCATATTGACTTCATTGCAATATGTTACATTAGAAGAAAATGGATCCTTGAGCGAGCAGTTATAAACTTTTCCATACCGATCGCTGTTTGGCGCTCCAATGACTAAATGGAATAATTGTAAAATGAATAACAGCATACTGTCATAGCATCACTTGTTAACGTAATACCTGTAGTTGCTGTAATTTTTTTCAGCATTACAGTACTCTTATTTACTATACAACTAAAAAGCTAAACCATACTAGTAACGCTGAATTTGTCTATAAATTCTGAGTGGGACTCGGAATTTATACTGTAGTATAACCAAGTTACACGACACCGCTGATTTTCAGTGCGACCACCACACACGAGACAGAGTACTTTGAAGCCGCTGGTTTTTTAAAAAAATCTTTTAACACATAACACTAAAGTCACTAAGTTATAATGGGACATCTGTTCCATTATAAATATTATCTAATAAAAGAAAATAAAACGTTACGATTAAGACCATTTTATAAATTGGTATAAAAATTAATACAAAAATAAATGCAATTTTCATGAATGTATGTAGTAAATTTTGTCTATGTTATTATTATTGATATTTTTTAAATATACTTAATAATTACTGTATAGAGATGGTACAGTTAGTATATGTTTTTGATGCTTAGTATATTTTATATTGTGTTGCCTGCTATAATTATTTGTGTTCTTTAAGAAGATGAGTGGATAATTTATATATTTTTAAAGATGATAATGGAATATTGCACCCGCCTGCGCTAACGTCTACGCTGCCAGGGCACCAATAGAGGATGATACCAGTGAGCATGAGGTCATGGTCAGTTAGTTCATCGTGACAAATTCACCAAGAATTTATCACGATGGTTTCTAGGGGAACCGCGTTGAGGTCAACTTGACATGCTACATTGCTAGCAATAAGATCGTCAGTCCACATTAATAACAATCCCTTCCCCCTAGTAATTTATGTTTAAAAGAACCAACTGAATTGAAGTTGGGAGGAGGCAGATTATTCTAGCACTTCGTGGCAGAATATTTAAACCAACCACGGAATGCTGTGGTGTTAAATTGGGGATCAGGAATAAGACTGACGATCATCATTGTATTAAGTGAATATGAGATAATATGATGGTCATCATTTAACATCACGTAGGCTGTCAGTTTGTTTGCCTTTCTGGTTACAAAAAAAATATGTAATACGAATACATCCCATGTCACTCGCTCATAATATAGCTTTCGATGGGGAACGAACTTTCAACATAAAATAGAAAAGAAATTAACTTGAGTTTCTTGCCAGTTCTTCTCAATTATTCAAAATTCAATTCAAAGTTCAAAATATCTTTATTCATGTAGGTCTATTACAGACAAATCTACCATCAGTTCGAATTTATTTCGAGATGAGAAGACCTGATAAGAAACTCAGCTCGTGTTCTTTTCATATGAATGTTATACATGTTTACAATAATACAGATTCATTTATAAATTAAAATTTGGGAGAATAGAGTGACCACACAGCATACGCTATTGCAAAAGCAAAAAGTCTGAACAGTTTTCGTAACCCGACCAGACCAGTCCCTCAGTCCCTACAAGCAGCATCCATTCACGAGTATAACGGAATCTACCTGTAGAGTGGACTGGACGGTTGGGATAAAGAATATTAATAACAAAAACTCAGAGTTAGAGCAGATGTAAATGAAATTCCACCATCATCCATAAAAAAATCTGAGTTGATATTTATGTCCTATTAGATCTTCATGTAATATATAATGATAGATAATAAATACGTCAATAAAAGAGTTCTTACCTATATTAGCTTTCTCTCCTTGCTGGTAAGCCATCGAAAAGCCAAAATCACTTCCAGTTTTAAGTTCCTTAGCGGTCAGAGTAACGAACGAAGACTCATGGTAGTAGATACATGAGGCTGTATCAATAATATAAAGACAAACAGCTAAATATACCGTACCTGTGGAATATAATAAAACCAATCTTTAAAATGTATTTACACGTGACCGGATATAGGCAATTATTTAAAATCACTATAAAGCTACAACTGTAGTTATTTTTAGAAAGCGTTAAATGTATCTTAAATTATGTAAGATATTAAAATACTGGGGGAGAAAATATTATAAAATTTATAACAATGAATAAACCAACCGATCATTTTGTACAACCACTACTGTGTTTTAAATTACATAATGTAATGTCAAGTGTGAACATGTTTAGGTTGAGTAATTGGTAGCAATAATAATATAGTGTATAAAGGAGGAAAACATCACATGCAACTATGTACATATATAGGAACAAATTATATTGTATTAATAGGGCTCAGCTGATCTTAGTCCTTCATAAAAAATGAACTTTAATGAAAATTCAGCGAAATTTTTAATATTTAAATAGATTTTATCACTATATCTGTACATAGGCTTTAACTTAGTAATATTTTAGTCAAGTCAAGTGAAAAAATTAATTCAATATCAAATTAAAAATGCAATTAAATAATTTGACGCCTCGGTGATCAACAGTTTAGAACACCGCCTTACTTCCGATAGTCGCATGGTTCTATTCCTCGCACGGTGCAAACATTTGTATTTATGAGTATGATTGTTTGTATGGGTCTGGGTATTTTCTATGCCTAATATGTATATACTATACCACAATAAAATCTATGTATTTCTATAGGTATTTAGAACCCATAACACAACTTGTGTTATCAAGCTTAACTTAGGTATAAATGGCGCTGTGTGAATTGTTCTGAGTTTATTATTATTAAGCAATGGTTTAACCAGCCACAATACTCTGAATATGATTTGCTAAAAGTGCTGTACTTTCTGTATTGCAGCAGGAACCCTGCCGAATTTCTTCTCGGTACATGTCCATTTCGAAACTACTCGAGTTATTGCTTATTTATATATTTTTGTAGCACAGGAAACAATGGAGCCTGCGGCTCACCTGATAATAAGTGATTACAACCGCCAATGAGCACCCACAACACCAGGGGAATTGCAAATGCGTTGCCGGCCTCTTAACAAGGAACAAGTTGTTCTTAAAGGTTTCAATTTCGTATGGGTTCGGTAACACCATTGCTGGAAGGTTGTGTGTGGCAAAAATCCAGCAAATATTACATATTTATATAATTTCTATATAAAATACTAACATGCATGCTCCCGATACCTCGTGAAGGAATGCGTCGTGTGAAGACCTGAATTTTATAATGAATAAATTAATAAAAAAAATATATTATATTTCAAAATTAGGTAAACAACATAACACTTATTTTCGATGGGTGTCAATTAATATTATTTAAGATATATTATTAATAAATTAACTGCGAGCGAAACATTAATTGATTAGGTATATAAAAATAATTGTAAAGCAATTTCGAAATTTGTATTTAAACGAATTCATGGCCATTTTTTTAAAGTGACGTCAAAATATAACATACATACTTATAAATTACTAACTTTCCATACAAAATAATTTTAATATGTCATATAAATACAATAATATAGAAACATAATTATGTAAAGCTACATAAATTCTTGGAATGCAATTTTATTACGTTACTGAAATAAAACATATTATTATATATATAATATATCTGCGGTTGCCTGCATCACATTGAACATGACATGGTAATCTTAAATAGTTTAAAAGTACCTATAGCAAAACACAAACTGTTATTTTATATAATGTTATTATGAGGGTAATTATTTAACCATTTTTTTTTAATTGTTGTGACTCTATAAGATTGTAAATGTAATACTAGCATCTTAGTAAATTTATATTAGAATTATTTTGTTGTACCCCCTAACAAAATACCAAACGACATACTTAAATGTAAATAACTAAAATATACAAGTTAAACAGTCGCAGAATGTACTTGACCTTAGTCCTTGATGACCTTAGTCATTGGCGTACTGAGCTCAAGTCTCAGGTGAGTCCGATTTTTTATAGGGCGGATAGCGGTTTTTGCAGAGGACATGGTACTATTCCTACTACATTGATAAATATAGTATTATACTACTTCATCGTCCGATGAAATAAAGGCCAGCTGCGGCCAACAACATTAGAGTAGTCGTTAGGACTACTCTAATGTTGTTGTGTAACTAGCTTTAAAAAAAACTGTTGAGTTACTTCCCAGTTCTTCTCAATTGAATCTGTATACTTAACTGGACGGTAGGGAAAAATTTTAATACCTACAAATCTTGACGTTCATAAGTGACTAATATGTCCTGTATGATTAATATATTTTTATTAATATATGACTAATATGATATGTACTGGCAACCGCACATGCCTGCTTACTGTGCAATACACAATTGCCTACACATGCAATTTCACTTCTATACATTTCACCTCATTATATTTATTTTAGTAATAAAAAGTCAGTGTTCGAGTAGCATTCAACTAAGGCGGTTTTATTTAACAAAAACCCCTCATCAATCAATCAACAGCATTATCACGGATCAAATACATATATCATTCAGTTATTTGATATCTACAGTAAACCAAATATGTAGTGCCCGTATATTATATATCAGTATAAACGTATTATTTCTTTAATATATTCTCCTCAATAATATTATTACATTGTAAAACGTGTTCATACGTATTTAGGCGACTAACGGGAAGGAAGTTTATTATTTTTAGTATGTATTGTTATTCCAACATTAGCATTTTAACAAATATTTATTAATATATATATCATACCATTATTTTTGTGCTTGTTTTAGTCAGTAGTTTTTATAATTATTACACGTTTTTTGTATAAAACTAATAATAATCCGTTACAATTCACACTGCGCCGTCTTGTAAAAAAAACAAATGTTGGAAAGCAAACAAAAATACAAAATAATTGCCAAACGAGCTGGCGACCAGCGTGATGCTGAGCGGTAACCGTCGCCTATATACCTGAACACATTACGTTATCATGGGATACGTGTGGTCCAATGCATGTATGGCCATTCCAGAGTACCTAATTAGGTGATATGCCTCTTTTCTTCTAAATTCACTTTCAAATCTATCCCTTTAACCGAAATACAATGGGGAAAGGGGATTGTTTGTTAGTAATATGGATTGATAATCTTATTGCTAGCAATGTACCATGTCAGATTAACCTCCACGCGGTTACTCTTGATACCAACGTGACAAATTCTTGGTAAGTTTGTCACGATGAACCAACTGACCTGACATCCTACTCATCTTATCATCCTCCACTGGTACTATCTACTACACTCCTCCAGGGTAAACCGTTAGCACAGATGGGTGCACCATAGGTGTTTTTTATGGATGATAATGGATATCATCCATAAAAAAAAGTAACAGAAACACAACTTACTAAGCAAGCTTGACGGTTCCGGTAGACCACAGAGGCTGTCCAAAAAAACATAGACAAATTATTATTATAATTATAGCAATTGTTTGTAACCTAATGCATGAAGCATTCCAATCAGTGTTATAAATAACTATTAAATAATAACTTACAGTACACTATCCGTTCAGTAGTAATATAATTATTATTAATAAAATTTTCTTTATTTCGCTTATACTTCTAATAGATTTTTTGTGACTTTTGTGACAATCTACAATATCTTCATGACGTCTCTCTGAACTCTGCACTGGTACTATCAGGAATTCTCCCTCTAGACTTGCGCATAAGCGAAACCACCTTACTGTACAAGGCTAGTTTTTGTAAGTCGTAATATATATATGAAGATACATTGAATCGCTATGTAAAAGGAATATACCTGCCTTTTTTTTAAGGTTGATGATGCCTCTTAAATACTTTGGCTTATTGGTAACAAAACTAACAAACAAAAACAGTAATAATAGAAATGACAGATATGAGTCACCCAATGGTACCCTCTCCATAAATAAGTAATAATGCATAATATTTTGTGGCCCAGTTAAAACAAAAGTTTATTTATTGTTTTATTTTTTTTATTTTACTTAATAAACTGGCTGGCTAATTAAAATATTCCAAACTACCTGTGCCTGCGACTTCATCCGTGAAAGACGAATTTCCATACAAATTGTGATTCGCTATTTTATTTTTGTCTGAAATTAAAGGAAAATATTTAATGATTCTAGAACACCCAAAATTATGTAGAACTATTTTAAACTGATAACCGATTTGAACAACCTTCAGATCATGTCATTAGTTAAATTAGTATAAATTCGTCATTTTCATTTATCCTCAACATAAAGTTTTTCCTTGTATAATAGATAATAATAGACCACTTACACCCGTTTATAATTGTTTTATTAGTCTTAGATTAGTCCATTGTGTCTGGTGTCGGTTTGATTTTCATGATGACCTGTAAGTATTTTCTATATTATACGTAGTACATTACCTAATCTTTATAATTATATAATGTATTATAAGTACAAGTATTTTTAAATTAATAAATTATTTATTGTCAAAAACCTTCGATTTTCGTTTTAATAAGTGAAGTCGATTTAAAGTAAACTTGAAGTCACACATCTATACATACAAAAAATGTTTATTGTTCGATATTGAAAATCAAAAATACTTTCTTTACACTAAACACAATGTTGGCAATTTGTATATTGTATTTTTAAAATATGTATTTAGATGTATGATTTATTTATTTATCCATAAGTTCTTCCTCGGGTTTGGAGTGCCATCTGCACTCGCCCGCTATCGTCCGGTGAAGCTGTAAAGGCCAGCTGCAGCCAACAGCATTATAGTCCGAAATTTTTTTTTTTAAACAGCGCGCTTCTTTTTTACTAGCTCCGCGCTATGTTCGACATTTGAAATAAAAAAGTAGCGAATAGTGGGGTTATGGAATACAACTTCACGCGAATTTATATATATATATATCTGAAACCGATGAAATAAAATTAATTTTACGAGCAAGTGTATTGAAAATATAACGAATTTCAGGTTTTTGGTGTTTAATAGCATTAACCAGTAATGAAAGTCTTTTCGGATACAGCATTACCTACGTGCCAAAGAATAAAAGGTAATTATTGAATAATTATACTTACGATAAAACTGAAATACCATAGTTTTGTTAAGGAGCTATTGAAGTGGGGAAGGAGTAGTGAATAATAAAATATCCAAATTCTTCACAATCCAAATTTCAGAGACAAACCCAAGTCAATCCTATGTGTATGCGTAAAATTATATCCCTACTAGTTTTTACTTACACGTAGCGATTTGTGTAACTTCATTAGACTATGTTCTTTTACATCCCAAAATCTGC